GTGTTTTCATTTTGCCCAGCTCCATAAACTGTACGAAATTCAGTGCAAGATGAATTTCAGTCATGAACGAAAAAACAGAAAACATCTAAATAGGAGAAATCTAAAACATCTAAATTCTGATCGTCAGTTAACACTTCTGAGTGGTAAGTACACAAAATTATTTTTAAATGTACGAAAAAATCTGTCCTATTTGAGTTTATTAAAATGAGCAGCTTGGTTTTGGACTATACCAGGGTCTATATTTTAGTGAGTGCATGTGATTTAATTGGTTAAAAAGAAAGACACAGATCAATTGAATCCCAGTCACTCCTTTATTCACCCACTGAAAGACAAATCAAACCGTTATCTGGCCAGTTGATTGCAGAAATGACTTATGAACATTTTTCTCACCTTTTCAGGTGATAATTTGACACCTTCTGCCCCCAGTAAACATCACATTTGACAATCAAATTTTTAAAAACAAACCAAGAAAAAAAAGGTACGAAAAGAAAATCTCTTTCAGCAATTACAACAAGTATAAAAAAAAACTTCACACTTTCTCCTCAGATCATGGTATGGGGCCGCAGATGTTCAATGCTGTGTGTTCCGGAGAGGGGGCTGGGATTTTGAGTTCTGGGTTTTACGTTCTTGAGAGGCCACGGTTGTCAAGGTCTTTGACCTGTGGAGGTAAACCAGGACATCATCAGTGGAAGTTCAGATGGTTTAGAGGGACAGTAAAGGTTAAAGATGCACAGGTGAGTTCAGATGTACCTTGTATATCCTGACGAGCCAGTGCTCTGTAGTATACGCTTCCTCCAGCACATCCAGCTCAAAGTCCTTGTTGCCAATCTCAGCGTTACGAACTCTGTCATAACCAGGAGGACGCTCTGGAAAGAAAAGTAAATGTAGAGTTTAATTCTAGTCATCACTAACTTCATAGACTTTTTTGTTCAAACCCTGAACTAAAACTCAACATGAAACAGCATTTGCAACTCATTTAACTTCCATAATGTCAGTTATTTATGAAAATAATAAAAATAAAACATTCGAAAAAATAACATTAAATAGCAAAATAATATTCAATAAAATAATGCTAATTCATAGTGTTCTGTTGACTAAAACTAAAATTGAAACTAAACTATTAAAAACTTTAATTTTCATTAATTGAAATAGCTCAAATTAAATTAAATTTTAAATTTTAGATGAAAAAAAGAAAAGAAAATTAGAATTTTGCCTTGGAAACTAACTGAAAAGGAATAAGTTGAAGCACCAGAATCACTCAAATATTTTTAAAAAAGCTAAACTGAAAAAAAAAAAAAAACTAATACTAGCCAAAAAATACTAGCCAAAACTAAAATTAAAAAGAAAATATAAAAATACAAGCTATTTCTAAAATAAAATATAAATTTAAGAATATAAATAAAATAGAAAAATATTGCCTTCGTAAATAACTGAAAATAATTTGAAATACTAAAATTAATTTAAATTCAATTCAATCACAAGAAAGGAATGAAAGAAAAGATTTTAAAGTGGGCGTAACTACATTAATTGGAGAAACATCTTACTGATCAAGTATGGTAAACAGTTAGTAAAAAAAAAGAAAGACAGAAAGAAAGAAAGAAAGAAAGAAA